CTGTTGATATTTTTGTTTTAAATATGCATAGTTCTTCCTTTTCCTAACACTGCCTCTTGTGTACTATTACCAAATGCAAAAAATAGTTAGTACTGCTTGGTGTTAAATATGTGTTCACGTTTGTAGTACAGAGTATCTACTTAGTTTATAATCTTTATGAAGATCTAGTTGTTAGCCAGACGGATTACTATTTAAAGTAGTGTGGGGCTGGGGTTGTGGCTCACCTGCCTAGCAAATGTGAGAAAATGTGAGAAAAAAGAAAAAGTATGACATGGACAGCCCTCACTGCCATTCTTTTTGTGTCCTGACCAGCCAGGAAAAGTACTCAACTACATCTGTGAAGCAGAATTAGCAGGTCTTTGGGATTTAAAATAAACTGACAAAAATCCAATGACATGCCACTTTTATCATGTTCCCCCTCATAGACTTAAGGTCAGAAGGAAGAATCAACTGGACAGGGACCCAAGAGGTTGTTAAAGACATTTTGCACCTCCAGTTGTGTAGTTCTTTCCCTTAGGTTTTTTTTTTAATTTTTTTTTACTTCTAATTTTTTTCTATACATGATTAAAAGATTATTTTTTGAAAACACATCTTTAACGATGTTAGTCTCTTAAAACCCATCCAGGGTGACTGTGTAGTTCAAGACTGAAAATGACTAAAATGTTGAGTGGTTGTATGTTGCAGTTTGCATTACCAAGTCAGTTAATTTCCAGATAGAGCAAAGGATTTAAAAAGAGGACAACTAAGGCAGAACCCAGCATGGCTACCATTGATCTGATTTGGGAAATTAGGGAATGAATAGGTGCTGTAGAAACCAATTTAAAGAAGTTATATTTTATTGCAAGCAAGGAGGGAGAGAGATGGGGTTGGGGCTTGAAGGTAGAGGAGGGAGAATAATCCTACAGTAAGGGGTCTGACTGTGTTGGCACATTAGGAGAAGGGGTCAGGGGAGGAAGACTGAAAGCACAAAGGTAAGAACATTGGGCTTTAAGAGTGGGACTGCCTGGGCAAGTTACTTTATCTAGATTTCAGGATTTCTTTCAGTAAATAGTATAATAATATTTACCTTACTATATTATTTTGATGACTAAATGAAATGAGATTATCCATGTAAAGTACACAGACCAAGACTTCATTCATTTTAGCTATCAATAAACTACCACTATCCTCAGGGTAGTCTTTTAATGCATTCATTCAACTGAAAACATTCTTTTTTGTTCCTCCTATTTTTAATAGTGTTGTGGGATTTGGAAAGCAACTATGTATAGTAGTCAGTACTTAATATTTAAATAATATTATCTCAGACAGTTTTAAAATTCCAAATCTTTTTTTTTTTTTTGAAATGGCATGTACTGAAGCAGAATAAATCAGTTTTAGCATGAAAGACAGTGT